CATGATCCAGAGTTTTAGAATTCAAAACAAAGCTCTGGTTCAAATATTGGAAAACTCAACTCTATGCACATTCAGCTCTGAACCTTTATCAAGCTTTTCTTTGTGCTTCAAATGCTTCGTCGGCAAAGTAGCAGCATTGGAATTTTCATATTTTGAAGATTTCTTGGGAATGTAACTCACCGGAATTGAAACATTGCAATCTCCACCATTTGAATAGTTTAAGCTGCTCTTTCTTTTAACCCAAGGAATGAGAAATACTTGGTATTGTTATTTAATCACAGTTTTGCAGATGAAACTTTCGAAGGAAATTGCCATTTTAGTATTGGGATTTAAGGGAGATCACAAAATCCTAAAGACACAAAACACAATTTGATTTTACACAAAATACAAGATACATTACACAAGAAAATAAGCATTTCAAAATAAAAATCGAATAAGCCATAAACAAGTTGAAAAACAGACCTTAGGTTTATAAACTTGTGAAGAATTTTTTTTTATTTTTTTTTATTTCCTTCAACAAAACTTGATTTTCTTTTCATCCCCATCGATTCACTTTCTTCAATCATGATTCGAGTCTATAATAAGTGGTGTCGCGTGGGTGGAACCTTTAATGGATGGATGAATCGCCTTCTTCTTTGCGTGGGTGAAGATGCTTCTTCTTCGTTGGGTGAATCATGGGTTTTGGGCGGTGGTTTGTGGTTTTTCTTTGTAATCAGTTGTTTTGGGGGCTAGTGGAACAAGTTTAGGGCGTATTAATTACGGCTATTAAATGTTTTAATTTGTTTTAAGTGTAGTAATCTAATTTGTTCATTTTTTACAGGAGTAGGCCTAATTTCCTCTTAAAGGGAAATGGTCGGTCGACTGGGCCCATAAAAATAGACTTAGAACTAGTAGACCTAAGTTCAGACCGAATGGGCTTGGTCGGTGAAGCTTCAAATCTCATGCGGATACCCATGGGCCCAGTACATGCTTCAGGCTAAACAATGGGCCTTCACCACAATTGTGCATAAACTCAAAAGTCAAAATACAGTTAATTTCTTATTTTCATTTCACTATAATCAATAAAACGTCAACTTAGAGAGCGAATTTTTCTCAGTCCAAAATGCCTTTTGTTTTGAGGTCATAAACAATGCTCACTATTGGCAAAAATATCATATGGTGGGCTCCCGAGGCATAGTTCAGTGGTTCAAAGGACATGAGTAAGGTAGTTTCAGTTGAACTGACAGTCGCAATGTGATGGTTCGATTCATGTCTCTTACAAGGTATGAAATCAGACTCTTTGTGGGCACCAGTATGTCAGCTCTTGTATCTTGACATACTGAGGCGTTCAACTTTTTTTTTTTAAAAATTATCATATGGTGGTGTGGGCTGTCCCATCCACCCTTTTGTTAATTTTTCACTACCTCAAAAGCCCCACCAATTATCACGCAATATTCCCTCACCTCGACAGAATGAAAAAAGTTTTGAAAGAAAGTCAGAAACAAATTTAGGCTTGATCTATTCAATTATTACAAATAGTAGAAAACCAAGATCCGAAGGCATTTAAAGGAAATTTGACTGAAGATGAATATGCTCATTATTCCTACAATAATTAGAAGTCTCACAACTTTCACGCGTGGAGTCTTTTTTTCCTTTGATTTTTCTCGATATTAGTAGTCGCATGTTAGCTATAGATTATTTTACATCAATGGGGTCGTTCCTCTTTATCTCTTTTTCTTTTGTCACTCTAAAGCATTCGAACTAAACCCAATCCTAAAATGATTAGCGTAATCTAAGTGATAAATTAGATCCACACTTTTGACGCCCGCGTCAAAGCTTTTATGACTTAACAACATTCATTGTTATTGTGTTATGTATGTAATGATTTTCACAAGTGCATGTTGAAATACGTGTCTCTTGAACAAAAGTCGATATTCACATATGTTTGGCTCATATTTATAGAATATTATAGACACTCAAGTCATTTTTTTCATATATTTCGAGAAAATTGCGAGTAATATTATCCACTCGTTAATAACTATTTATAATTTAACTGTTTATAAACACTTTCTAAACATCTTTAGATCGAGGTAGGACATTAGCAGCGGCGGCTAGAAAGAAGATGCTTTTATTCTATTCAATTTTCCCATGTTTTTTTTTTCTTTCTTTAACATATTTCTCATCTTATTGAAAAGTTAAATGGAATTTGACATTAATACTCACGGATGGCAAAATGTGTCTCTTCAATGGAGAATTTAGGACGGAAATAGAGAACGTGTGACTTTCTTATGATATTATGTTTTTAAAATTTAAATTATATTTTTAAATTCTACATCCCCATCTCGCCTCTTGGCAATCCCCACGGCAGTGAGGGACGGAAAGGCCACCCAGCATGTCTCGTCCCATTGCCATCCTTGTTAATCCCTTTACTTATTCACTATTTAAGGGACATACGATAATTTAATAGAATATTTGGACATTTCTTTCATTAAGGATAGTAGACTCAAAAGTAATGAAACCTTCAAGATAATGCTACTAGAACTAGAATTTGGGAACGCAAATGCAAAAAAAAAAAAAAAAGAATGAAAATATTTTATTATTAAGCTAAACACACGTTAAAAGTCTAGGATTCAGGAGTAATGCTATTTAGCACGAATAATATTACAACATCAGTCTAACTGACATTAAATGAATCACATATTTCTACCTTTAATTGGATCAATCACTATTCAAGATTCAAAGGATGAGAAAAATGTATTGAAAATTGTTGATTTATACGAAAGTTGGGACCCAAATGCTAATTTTCAAAAGACCAACTAAAAAGCATGAACTTTAACGTTAAGGTGAGTGCTAAAATTACTGTAACATAAAAGCAAAGCAAAAGGCAAAATTGGGAGCATGATCACTCCCTATAAGCCTAAATGATGTTTCTTCTCAGTGGGCCTTTTCCACTTATTTTCAATTTTATCCTTTTTACCAGTGACACCATACAATCTGTATACATAATCTTAATTATTCATTCTCCAATCCAATTCCAGTCCCTACATAATATACAATACATAATATCGTGTCATTGTGTGTGTAAAATTATGACTGGCCGGGACCAGTTCTCATAAAACTAGTTCCTCATGAATTTTCATTACAGACTCAATTCTTTATAGGGAATCTGATTCTTCCATGACTTGATCGTATGCTTGTAAATGGCCTATGAATTGATAATGTTTACCTCATTAATTCTTGAAATTGATTTTCTTCACGGGAGCTAATGGTAATGCTGATTCGACTAACTATGTACTTAAGAATAATGCTAAATATACTTTTTTGTTATTTAGAATAAAGATATACGGAAATTTAAATTATAAATTTAGATTAAAGGGCGAAAAATGGCGATAAGGTCACCTTCAAACTCAACCTTAAGCTCCATGATCACAAGGCTTTCATTATGCCTCGTAATGAAAAGTGGCATAACCTCATGGATTCTCTAACTTGCGATCAACATAGTTCCATTGAGCTGCGAGTTGAGTTGCGGGCTATTCGAGCCGACGAGTCAGATTGACATCCTTAATGGAGCCAAATCAAAAACTAATATTGGCATCACATTATGCTTAGGTATATATGCCAACACTTACTACTTCGACAGATTTATTTTGCAAGCTAACACATCAAAATGGCTACGGCAACGAGGTTGATAAACCATGGTCAGGGACCAAATGTACTAATTGATGGAGGGTTGAGAATGCGATGAAGAAGGTAGGGACAAGAGCGATAATAAGAAAAGAGTGGGGACTTTTAGTGCAATTAAAAAATAATACAATAAAAGAAAACCAAGGTGCTAATATAACCACCGCCACCCTTCTATGAACCCATTTGATTTTGAAATTTTTAAACAAAACAACCTAATGAAATATCAATAGCACTTAAAAAAAGGTATCTAAAATGAAATCATATAGTTTACTAAAATTCATATTGAAAATAATAAATTGCGCATACCATCAAAAACCCTCTAAAAAAAGTCAGTGTTAGACTAATCAACATTTAACGTTATGCAAGTATTTTAATACTAAAAATTGAGTTGTACCTAACAATATCCAAGTATTTATGTACCTCCCCAATTTTGGTATTTCGACTGACAGGAGAAACATTCTCACGCTTTCCCGACAGAAAATAAGCATGGGATCAAACAAAGTTGAATTTTTTCCTTAAAAGAACCCATATCTCATACTTTGTCTGTCCTCCGATTCCCCCTTTGACCATTTGTCTAATCCATTGTACTGTACTGCTATGCCAACGGTACACTTGGTCGTTAAACTTCATCCAAATGATTAGGAGCAGCATATGATCAAGATCGACCATTCGAACTTCAAGATTCAGCAAAATGTAGTCGGATTGTAGTGTACACGAATTTGGGTGCGTAGTATTAGACATTACTCAACAAAAACTATTATATTCTTTATTTAACTCCCGTTTGATGACTATTAAAATTAATTTTTGAGAAATAACGATTTTTGAAATAATGATTTTTTGGAGAATATGTGGTTAAAAAAGAGGAAAAATTTTGGGTTTACATTTAGAATATTTTATTGTGAAATTGTGTGGTTGAAAATGAGTTTAAAAAAAAAATAGTATAGCCCGATGATCATTTTTTTTGGAAAAACATTATTTTGAATAGTGAATTTTTGAAAAATGTATGGTTAAAATATAAGGAAATTTTTTTTGTTTACGTGTAGAATATTTTATTGTGTAAACATGTGATTAAAAATGAGTACGTATAAAGAAAAAGTCTTAAGAATAAAAGACAAGTGGATCTTAGTAGTTGTAAAACACGGGCTGATTTCTTTACTCTTCAATCCCTCTTTTTCCAGAGAGACTTTTTGTAAAGCACACACTCCCCTGCTTTGCACAAAGAAAGTCTAATCATATTAAGCACTCTCTCTCTCGCATTTACACAAGTGCACTCAATGCTGCCTTGTTCATTCTATATACTCACAAATTAAGAGTTACTAATCTTTTGAGTACATTCAATGGAGTTCACTACAATGAAGATTGTTGCTCTAACTACAATGTACATAGTGTTTTCATTTGTTATGGGAGCCGAACAAGGCGGATCTTCGTCCATAAAAAGGGATTCCGAGGCTCTTCTCTCCTTCAAGAAGATGATTCAGAATGATCCCAATGGAGTTTTGTCAGACTGGCAGCTAAAGAAAGATCCCTGTAATTGGTATGGAATTACATGCACTCTTGGAAGAGTGACTGCTCTTGATCTTGCTCAGTCTAATCTTGTTGGCCAAGTCTCTTTTTCGCCCTTTTCTTCGTTAGATATGTTGACTGCCCTCAATTTGTCTGCAAATTCGTTTGCTATAAATTCTACAACATCTTTGCTCCAGCTCCCTTATGGATTGAAACAACTTGAACTTTCTTTTTCTGGGCTTGTAGGTCATTTTCCGGAAAGCTTTTTCGCCAAGTGCCCGAATCTTGTTTATGTGAATTTTGCTTTCAATAATATTACAGGTTTTCTACCTGAAAATCTTATGTTGCACATCGATAATTTGCAATATCTTGATCTTTCTTACAACAATATTTCAGGTTCAATATCATACTTGAAAATTGAATCCTGCAATTCCTTGTTGCATCTAGACTGGTCTGGTAACCAAATGGTTGGTTCTCTTCCTCCTTCCTTTTCAAACTGCACAAAACTCGAAGAGTTAATTTTACAAGACAATTCACTCAACGGGGAAATCCCGCCTTCTTTTGGTGAACTCACGAGCTTACAAAGATTAGATCTTTCTAAGAATCATCTCACTGGTTGGATCCCGACTGAACTGGGAAATGCGTGCAACTCACTGTTGGAACTTAAGATGTCTAATAACAACCTTACTGGATCAATACCGACCTCATTCTCATCTTGTAATTTGCTTCAACTTCTTGATTTGTCCCTCAATAATTTAACTGGTCCTTTCCCCGATTTGATCCTGCGAAACTTAGGATCTTTAGAGACCTTGCAACTTCAAAGTAACAGGATCTCTGGAGCATTTCCTGCTTCTATTTCATCCTGTAAGAAACTACGACTCGTTGATTTCAGCTCCAACATGCTGTCTGGGATCATCCCACCAGATATATGTCCGGGAGCTATTTCACTCGAAGAGCTGAGAGCACCAGATAATTCACTTTTTGGATCAATTCCATCTCAATTATCTCAATGTTCCCAGCTAAAGACCATCGATTTCAGCATAAATTACATTAATGGTACAATACCAGCAGAACTCGGGAATCTTGAGAATCTAGAGCAACTGATTGCCTGGTACAACAGCTTGGAAGGGAATATACCAGGAGAGTTGGGAAAGTGCAAAAAATTGAAAAATCTTATACTGAATAATAACCATTTAAGTGGCAGAATCCCAACAGAGTTGTTCAATAGCGTTACTCTGGAATGGATATCCCTCACAAGCAATAGACTGAGTGGTGAGATTCCACGAGAATTCGGGTACCTAACAAGGCTAGCTGTTTTGCAACTTGCAAATAATAGCCTGAGCGGTCAGATACCGAAAGAGTTGGAAAACTGCACCAGCTTAGTTTGGTTGGACTTGAACAGCAACCAGCTTAATGGTGAGATTCCACCTCGACTTGGAAGGCAGAATGGATCAAAAGCACTTAGTGGAATTCTGTCGGGCAACACATTGGTTTTTGTACGAAATGTGGGGAATTCTTGCAGAGGAGTCGGAGGGTTGATTGAATTTTCCGGCATTCGTCCTGAAAGGCTGTTACAGGTGCCATCATTGAGAAGTTGCGATTTTACACGATTGTATTCTGGTCCAGTTCTGAGTCTTTTCACCCGGTACCAGACTCTCGAGTATCTTGATCTTTCTTATAATCAGTTAAGAGGGAAAATCCCAGATGAATTTGGGGAAATGATAGCCTTACAAGTTCTCGTGTTGTCCCATAATCAGCTATCGGGGGAAATTCCGGAGTCTCTAGGACAGCTTAAGAACTTGGGAGTCTTCGATGCATCTCATAACAGACTGCAGGGGCATATTCCAGACTCATTTTCGCAACTGTCTTTCTTGGTGCAAATTGATCTCTCCAACAATGAATTGATAGGACGAATTCCACCCACAGGGCAGCTTAGTACACTTCCTGCAAGCCAGTATGCAAATAATCCAGGTTTATGTGGAGTCCCATTGCCCGAATGTCAATACAATAACAATCAGCAGCCTACAATAAATCCAAATGAGAATGGTAAAAAAGGTGCAGCTACATCATGGGCTAATAGCATTGTGATGGGGATTCTTATTTCAATAGCTTCTGTCTGCATTCTGATTGTGTGGGCAATTGCAATGCGTGCTAGACGCAAGGAAGCTGCGGGAGTGAAGATGCTTAATAGTTTACAAGCAACCCATGCTGCAACAACATGGAAAATTGAGAAGGAGAAAGAGCCACTAAGCATTAATGTTGCAACTTTTCAAAGGCAACTGAGGAAACTCAAGTTTTCTCAACTGATTGAGGCTACCAATGGATTCTCAGCAGCGAGTATGATTGGCTCTGGAGGATTTGGTGAAGTATTTAAGGCAACATTGAAGGATGGATCAAGTGTTGCAATAAAAAAACTCGTAACTAATTCGACGGTCCCACTGTCCCTATTCATGGCTGAAATGGAGACCCTAGGAAAGATCAAGCACAGGAATCTTGTCCCTCTTTTAGGGTACTGCAAAGTTGGTGAAGAGAGGCTCCTCGTGTACGAGTTCATGGAATACGGGAGCCTTGAGGAAATGCTCCATGGGAGATCAAGAGTGCGTGATCGAAGAATTTTGACTTGGGAAGAAAGGAAAAAGATAGCTAGAGGTGCTGCTAAAGGTCTTTGTTTCCTTCACCACAATTGCATACCGCATATTATACATCGTGACATGAAATCGAGCAATGTGCTATTAGACAATGAAATGGAAGCCAGGGTTTCCGATTTCGGTATGGCAAGGCTTATCAGTGCCCTTGACACACACCTAAGTGTGAGTACATTAGCCGGTACACCTGGCTATGTCCCCCCTGAATACTACCAAAGCTTCCGATGCACTTCAAGGGGCGACGTTTATTCATTTGGGGTCATCCTTTTAGAACTGCTCACCGGGAAAAGGC